CACTAGGCTGGCTGCTGCGACCTTAAGCCAATGCCGTTGGATCAAGCGCTTCGCTATCGCAGCTTCTGGAGTAGAATCTACGATGTCAAGCATTGCTATGGCTGGAATCACATGTCCATCACTGTAAAAGGGCACAAGGCGGCTGGACAAGATGGAACACGCACCATGGCTTGGCACTTGAAGACTTCCCTTGGGTATCGCGGTGCCAGGCAGTATCCACGCAATGATCTCAGTGTCATTCTGTGCCAAAGGAATCATATCGCCATTTCTGCGCATTACTGTCGCAAGTGATGGAACCAGAAGCCACCGCCGGTTGAACAGACCAGTAGTCTTCACCAACACTAACACCAAAAAAATGGCCTGGAACACCACTACTCGCAATGCCCCAAGCCTAATCGACATCGAGAGATTTCATTGTTCCGAAACAGGAGCATGCGTTGCAGCCAAAGCCTGGTTGTGAATCCTGACCCAAAAGAAGGAAGAAGCATGCCTCCAGACATCAGTGAAGTATTGCAACCCTAAGGGAACCTTCATGCCCCAGACCGCTTTTTCTGAAACTTATCAACATCATATATGACCCTTTCCCTCTCCCGCTTTCTCCGGTCCGAGGATGACTTCGAATCAAGGAATGCTGCTTGGCTCCCGTGCGAGCGATGATCACGGACATAGTTGTTCGTGTTGGAAGCAGCTACCTCCGCTCTGAACTTTGCCTCTCGCGCCTGGTCTCTCTCTCTTTTTACAGAGTCTTCCACATCCTCACCGCTACAAGTGGTCAGTCTCGGTACGATATGAAACGGTGAAGAGAAAACCGACCTCCCATACTGATTCGCATCTGAATGGTACTCGACATCATACTCGCCGTCAGAAGCGGCTGGCGTCTTCTCCTTCCTCTTTTCTGACCTCCGATCGACCTTGTCACTTCTCTCGAATTCGGGATAAACGTCTTTTTTAGAGGACGAAGAGCTTTTGTAGGTCTTAGAAGACTGAGCATGCCTCTGGGCATGTGCAGATCTCGACGACCGATGGCTGCGTGACGAAGACGGGTCTCCAGTCTCGCGGCTCGACTGGTGGCTTCTTCTCTTTTCCCAATCTGCCATGATGGTATTCTTCTTCAGAATGTATAGGTTTTGGTGCGCGAGAATCGGACTCGGGTCGCTCGGTTTGAATTCGGCAGAGCTGACCTTTTGAGGGGATGCCGGGAAGAAGAGGGGATCCGGTAGCAGCGTGTCGGTGAGAGAAACGACCTTGTCAAAGATTTGACCTAACCGCCAGGCCCCTTGTCTCTTTGGAATCTATGTTCAAGTCACGCGTGCAACCTCTCTCGCAAATCGCACACTCTGCCTGGTGCACCGAGCCATGGTTTCCAACGAAAGCAGTACAGCCCAGTTCGAAAGCGTCATGTGGAATTCCGAGGGTGACACAACACAGCACCAAGTGCCCAGGGAGGCGCTCGACCTCTTCGCGAAGCGGCTCCGATGGCGATGATGAAAGCCTCACTATCGCTCAAGCACATATCGCGTCTTGTGCCCGTCGTCGTTTCGATGCCAGCTGCCTGTTTCAAGTCAGCCTGCCCTCTTCAGAACCGAGAAACAGCCCCGCTTAAAGCCTCAACTTCAGGACAAGAGCGCCCTGGAGACCGCAATACGTGAGGTGGGCAACTTGAACCGAGTCTCAGAATCTTGATAGCCATACAAAAGATGAAGCTGACCTTTGTCTGGCTGTAGGCAACGGAAAGGACCGCCCAGCCCCTCGTATGGGCACCTGTTGGGGCTTAGTGAAACTGCATTTCTCACAGCGCCAGCGTGGCTCGACTTGGGACACAATATGGGATAGAAAGGGTCGAGTCGTCCGCATGGGTCGCATGTAGTTCGCTATGGTCCGCGTACGGCGGGGAATAAAGCTGCCTGTACTGATGCTCGGCCGACCATGTCAGGGCAGACTCCCAGCGAGTGCCAAGCAAGTCCAAGGCGCCATCCAAGGCAGACCCGGTGTGCCTCGTATTGACGCTGGACCATTTGACACAGGCTTCTGAAGGCAGAAGTTACCAGATAACGATAAGGCACATCGTGAAGTATGGATAGAATAGGGAATGCCCAGGAAACAGGTGGTCAGACCATCCGGACGTATGCCCGCATTATAGATTTTCTCCTTACTGGGAAAAGAGAGGATCTGATTCATCCATATTACAGTGCGTCAGCGGCGTTACAGCTGCTGAAAAGGTTGCAAACAAGGGGCTCAAGCAAATAAGAGAAAGACAAGAGCTGCGAGAGGGGGTTAGGACGAGCTTGGAAAACTTGGAGAATTTGAGATGCGGGTGCCCAACGCCTAATAAGTAATCACTCCAGAGCCTGAAGAGAGCAGCGAAAGTACTTCTGTAGGAATTATGCGCTTCTTTATCAGAAGAAGGCTCTGCCTATATTTGGGGCATGACGCGATATTATTCTCTATCCACCTCCACACCAAGCAGCAGTACATGCACTAACTTTCTGAGAGCTGAGACACATCATGCCCCCATGACGTGTCTGAACAGGCATAATTGCGGAGACATTGCATTTGCAAAAGTGTACGAACAATCGATGGCAAAACATCACTTCCACTTGGAGAAACTCCGAGGTTGAAGAGCTGGAAGACCATGAATGCATTGACGCTTGGGAGGGGAGGGGTTGTCTCACCCCTTGGCGTCACCTACAATCGGAGATGCGTATCTCAAGAGTTACTACATCTGATCACCTCCGTGTCGTATGCTGTGACTTATGCCATCATCATACCTGGGCCACACGTATTCGCATGTCTCATTGACCACCAACAACATGTATCTGCACCTGACAGTATGAAAAACCTAACGATAGGGACAGAGAACCCATCTTCGGCTAGCTCTTGGCCCATCCAACCTAATATCCCCCCACCCTCCCCTCCCCAGCTGCTGCTTCTCCGCATACAATATTGTAGCATTGCATATTCTTGAGCAGCTGATGCATCAGCTTTTGAGGTATCTTGGCGCTTCAGCCTTTGGTTTCTCGTTCAGGCGTTCCATTTAGTCGTGCTAGGAAAGCCTGGTAATTTGAGTCTGTATTGTGTGAGGTACACTTGTTGTACTGCTAAAGAGAGCTGCGCGACGAAAGAGCTCCTACAGCACGACCCTCCAGCTTCGCTCAAAGCGGCCGTAGACGAATGTGAGGGTCCAGAAATCTCCCACCCCTATCCCTCTGAAGTATGGGAGCATAGCAGACGAATAGGCAATGGTCGATAAGGCAACGCCATCCATGTCCAGCGGCCTGACTGCCACTGGTGGCTTCTTTTTTGGGGGTCTGTACTGGACTTTACACTGGTATGGTAGGCCCAAGGCTCGATGGGACGATGGCTGATGTTGTGGCTGCACAGTTCGCAGGTGGTGTGAACCTGGTGGAGGGTGGATGGATGGTTATGAGGGGTATGTCTCCCCACCCATCCAAAAAGAAACTAGAAGGCCATTCATTAGTAGGTGTCAAGCGCATCCTTAACGCGCCAGAACAAGGTAACCCACCACAAAATCCATGTGAAGTCATCCTACTGCTGCCGAGAGCACACACTATCTTTATCCAGACATACTCCGATAGTGCCGTAGACAGAGGGGTCAACAACGCCAGCCCAGTCTGCGGCGTGAGTGACCGTGGTGGAGGTCGATTCGGCAGTAGCATACGTGGGGGGGATTGCAACACGGGACGGCGACCAAGGCGCGTTTTGATCGGTTGTGGCACCAGTTAGTTTATTGTCCACTGCTCGAATCAGCTGTCGAATCTCATTGTGTCGTAAATGACGGTTTTTGATGGCTTTGGAAGTAGTAGACGTCATCAATGACCCATTTGGATGTGAAATCTGCATGTATTCGAGATAGGCGTCGAGGTGGGTTATGTCTTCCATCCTCGGTCGGCTGTTTCGATGGTGTGGGGGGACGGTGGTGGTTGTTGGCGATGGTTGTGTCAATTCCCTGTACCCAAGACGTGAACAAATTAGCCTTTTCACTTCATGAATGATCTGAGTAAGGCTCAGGCTGCATGGCTCACCTGGTTGGCCCTTGTTGAGCGTCCGCTGACCAAGTTTCAGAAGAAGCTACTCGGTCCTTTGCCCGTACACGCTTCTTGTTCTTCTGGCGAGCCATCGTTGCTGACTGATTTGGATTACGCTCTTGCACGGCGATATTCGTACAGGAAAGAAGACAGTCGTTATATATGACAAGAAAAGCTCTGGTACTCTTGATCAGCCTCCTAGAAGAGAAAGAATGAAGACTAGCGTGAAAGACGTGTGACAGTCCTGTGGCCACAGTCCTTCATGCTCACCAATCTTTGGCTATTGAGGCTCAGAGTGCACATGAGGCAATAGCCATACAGCATTGTGGGCCACTCGTTGCAGAATCTGTCTTGCAAGCACCTACCGCGGCTTCAGTAGTGACACGCAATACTGGTACAAGCATATTAAGGCAACCGCGCTAGGAAGCCATGACAGCATGGGTTCGCCTTCAAAGACGCCTAACTTACTTTACGAGGCAACCAAGAATGCTTGTGTCAGGGGACCCTGCGGGTTCCCTGCGGAGCCGCCAAGCAGGGGGTCGGTCAGAGGCTGAGGGCTACGAGAAACGTATATACAGGCTGCGGAGGGCCAGAATTCAGATGTGTTTTAACCCCATACCTACCTTCTATCTATCTGCGGACCACGTGTGGAAGGCCTCATCACTCTGCTCTAACAACGCTCTGACAGCTTGGTTCCAACTTTCCCACGTTTATTGACGTATGTGTACTGAAGACTGCGGTACTGGTGGCCTCTCAACCCTCTTGCTGTGCTGTTCAACATGGCGTCAAGCATGGCGTCAGAGACTTATAGCTATTCTGCATCGATCAAACTTGCCATCCTGACGCGCAACGTAACTGACGCGAGGGCTGGTGTTCTGAAGGTTCATGACGCTTGGACCTTAAGAAACCTTTTCTCAATAAGGTTTTTGCACGGCCGAAGAATAAGAGGCGAGAACTCATCTGATATCCGCAGACACGGGGATGAAGGGCAGCATATTTGTTTTCTCTTACCTTGACTTATTCAAGAAGTCTCCTTCGTAATCAACTGGGAAGCAAGTTCGTAGATATAATTCCACCTTGGAATGTATTCAAATGTTGTTACGGGATTCAACATCAACGAGAAACTTAAGGGAACCCTTCAGAATATGAGGCATTTGGTAGTATGGCGTGGAGCGGGGTTGGTATTCCATCTGGCTCTTCTCCATGACAAGAAGATCAGGCTGTATGAACACGCCTTAGACAGCTTCGAGTATCGGCTCAGCAGCCAAAAGCAAGGCAACCAGTTAAAATCAAGTGAAGAGACAGACTACCGACGTATCAAGGTACCTAGCTACCTTAGGAGGAGTAGGTAGGTTGCTTGCACGTGACGTTGAGTGACGCACCTCAGCGTCACTGTATGATAACTCAACATGCATGCTAGATCTGCAGAGACAGTGCGGAACTGATTGATTCCAATGGCTTTAGATTTTATTTTATGTTACGGTATAATTTGTGCCTAACACGATGAAGGTAACAGCGCGATGAGTTGAGCGGAGATTAAGTGGCGGCCAGAACTTGGGACACCGTCTTCAGCGGCGGTTGTCTTCCGATTTGATCTCATAAGGCTCGATGTGAACTAGTCAGT